CCATGTTTCTGTTGAATGATTAAGAGTCAGGTGTCCTGGTCTTCTAGTCTCAGCTCTATCTTCATCTCCTGGGGTGATCAGAGTGGTCTAGAGTCCTGTCTTCCCTGTGCACAATAGTTGGGCTGCTTGTCGCCTGGTCATGCAAGAGACAGATGGAGGAAGAATGGAGAAGATACACTCCAGACTCCAGTGTTGATTCCAGTTGAAGCCAGGGCTGCTGGAGTACATACCTAGGGCATGCCTGGAGCTCATGTCTCAAGGGGCACCTGGGTTGGCAGAAACAGGCATTGACCATGTGCCCAGGGTTAGAATGCTCTTCTCTGAATATCCTCCATCCTCATTCTGCTCAGGCATGCAGTGAGGCTATCCCTTTGCTTCTTAAGATGCTTAAAAAAAAATTGGGGGCCGGCCGAGTGGCTCAGTTGGTTAAGAGCTCGCTCAAGAGTTTGAGCTCTGAGCAACAGCGGTTCGATTCCCGGCCCGAGCTGCGCAGCCGCTGAGCTGCCAACCAGTGGCAAGATGGCTCAGCTTAAAAAAAATAAAAAAAATAAATGGATGGGTGGATGTTTATTCTGTACTATCTCCACGTGTGTGAGCATAGCTAAATTACTTCCCCTCCACTTGTAAAATGAAAGGGATTGGATTATTTCAAGTTCCTTCTAGTTCTCCAACTCCTGCCCTGGCCCTGGTAAGGAGATGGCTTCACCTGGATAGTCCCGTGGGGCCCAAGTTGGCATATGCTGAGTCCTGTACTTGACACATAACCAGATATGCTCTTGCCCTCTCAGAGTCCAGAATATGGGCCTGACCGATGCCTTCTGTTTATCTTGTCCAAAATCTGCTCTCTCTGTACCTCCACTGATTCCTCCAATCCTTCCTGATCCACCTTCCTCCCGCCAGACAACTCAGTGGTTGGAGATCCTACAGCGGCTTTGCCTGCATGACCAGCTGTCAGTCCAACACCGGGGCCTGGTCGTTGCCTACAACCTGCTGGCGGCCAGTGCTGAGCTGGCCAAGAAGCTTGTGGAGAGCGAGATGCTGGAGATCCTGACTGTGGTGGGCAAGCAGGAGCCGGACGAGAAGAAGGCAGCAGTGATTCAGACAGCTCGGGAATGTCTCATCAAGTGCATGGATTATGGCTTCATTAAACCAGTGTCTTAGACAGGATCCCACAGGGGTGACGGGGCTGATCTGCACTGTGCAGAGTTCCGAGCAGGGAATTCCCAGAGTGTCACTGCAGCTAGGGGTCATAGCAGTGATGACGAAGTCTCCATAAAAATAAACAAATAAAGGTTGTTCCCTGAGTTTGAATCTTCCCTTTTGCCCAAAGTTTGTCTGTTTCATTGGCTCTCTTTCTGTCTCCCTATACCTGTCGTGTTCCAGAAATTCCTAGAATAATTTTTTAACTGCAATTTGGAAGACAGGTTAGACAGGCGTTTCCCGAAAAATAAGACCTGGTCTTATATTAATTTTTGCTCCAACAATCTACATTTATTCATTGATTCTTGTACAAAAATCTACATTTATTCAAACAGTCATGTCTGGCTGATGATCTTAACTGGGGCTTATGTTTGGGGTAGGACTTATATTATGAGCATCCTGAAAAATCACGCTAGGGATTATTTTCCAGTTAGGTCTTATTTTCAGGGAAATATGGTAATACCAGAGTTGCCGGTTTGATTCCCACATGGGCCACTGAGCTGCGCCCTCCACAACTAGATTGAAGACAACGACTTGACCTGGAGCTGATTGGTCTGGGAAAAAAAAAACACTGCTCCCCAATGAAATTCATTAAAAAAAAAAGGTGTCAATTTAAATGTTATCAGATGAGCACATCATTTAGTTAAACAACCTATCAGATAACAGACTCTGAAGTCTAGGTATTTATACAATTCTCCTTTGCCAGAAATAGAATTTGGAAAGGCAGCTGTAAAGGGGCAGAGGGACATTATCTACTTATTTTACTAAGGTATTTTTTTTTCTTCCTTCTTTCCTTCCTTCCTTCTTGCCTTCCTTCCTTCCTTCCTTCCTTCCTTCCTTCCTTCCTTCCTTCCTTCCTTTCTTTCTTTCTCTCTCTCTTTCTTTTCTTTTTTTGCTACACATGTCTGTAATTTTCAGAGCCAAGCACTGCAGTTTCACTAATTGCTTTGGAGAAAACAAATACCAGACCCAAAAAACTTAAAACTTAGAATATGCAAGAAGGTGACGATGGGATGATTATTATGTGGACTGCAGAGTGTGTGGTGTTTTACGTGCACAGGAGTGCCAAGAATATGGAACTATCAGACACCCAGTTATATGGGGGGTGGGGGAGCACGGTAATAGGAGACACACATTCCCTCCTACTTTCCAGATAATTATAATAAGAATTCTTATAAATTTTGAAAATCAGAGTTGTATATGCACACACATTAGGCATAGTATAAAATCAGCAGTCTCCTGGCTCCCTCTCCTTCCTGTACACCAGAAACAACTACTTGATGTCTCTTTTGGTATCTACCTCTCTGTTTCCAAATAGTGCAGTTTTGGTTTTAAATAGATATTATCTACTTACTCCTAGAAGATTTAGTTCAAGTACACTCTCTCCCTATCTTCCCCTCCCCACATCCTGCTGATATGGTCGTATTGTCACGTTGGGTTAGAACAATGCAATATTCACCTTGTTATGACTTTCTAGTCACAGCTGTGCTAGGTGACTCACAATGAGTATATTTCATTTCCTATATAATGTTCTGCTTTGCTCAGGTTTATACTAATCTGACTTGTTTAGTTTTCTGTGTATCAAACACTAATTCATCTCCAAATCCTCTGCATCATACTAAGACACTTGTTTATCAGACACATTAAGTATACCATCAATTAATTATTTTGTGTCCTGAGGATATATTCCCCTGAGCTCTCTGCCCTTGGATCCTGACTTGGGGGTCTCCAGGCGCACTCCTCAGCTGTAAGACTGGGCTCTCCCTTCCCACGTATCCAGGATTCTTTTTCTTTTCCCCAGGGTTAGATCCTTGTATCCTGGATCGAGCTCTTAGTAGGAGTCTAGTGTGGGAATAGGGACAGGACAATGCTTGGGGTATGAAAGTTTCTCTGATTCACAGTAAATATGACAGGGGGTTTTATAACTAACTGTTACGAGGATTAATGTCGTTTCCCTTTTTTCAGAGGCTAAATATTGGCAGCGGTAGAGCTTTTTGTCATTCACAGATGGTTTTCAGCCCTGAGGAGGGATTGCTAAAATGGCGAGTCTCCTTTGCCAATCCTTGCTGTCAATCCAAGGATAAGGGAACGCCCCAAGTCCACCTCTGCCCTTCAGCCTGGTTGTTCCAAACAAGTAGCCACTGATTTTCCTCCTTAAGCCCTTGGAGTTGCTGTCCTTAGAGGAATGATTTTCCAGCCTTTAGCCCTTAGCTCTTCTTCACAAATACTGAGGTCTGCATTATGGATATTTTCTCCTTCTCACTTTTTGACAATGTGTGCACAGGAAGTAGAAATATCTTTTCTGTGATATCATAGAGTCTTCTGTAAATAGTGAAAAGAAATATTTTTTTGAAATGCACTATTATTGAATTGTTGATCTGCAAAAAAAAAAAAAATTTTTTTTTTTTTTAGAAAAAAAGACCAGATGGATTACATCACAATGCTAACAGTCTTTGGGTGGTAAGTCTATGTCCCCTCTCTCCCCGCTTTTCCCCCCTTATTTTTCCAGCACTTTCAAAAACTGGAACTGTCACGTCCTGCGTGGCAAGGGCAAATGGGACACGAGAGGGTCGACGCAGATTAAATAAGTGCTCATGAGATAAAAGTCAGATAGGAACGAGACCAAGGGACCCAGCCTGGAAGACTGAGCCCCGAATCGGGTCTTCATAGGGCTTTTATTGAGAAAATTTCAAAGGAAGAGAAACTGGATTACTCAAAGATCCCTGTGTCATGTGCCTTAAGGCTATTTTCCATTAACCAGCTCCCACTGTATTCCAACATGTACTACACCTTCATACAGCCTGCACAACCCCCAGGACAGCGCCATGTGACACATCATGTACAAATAAAGGGAGATGACCAATATCATTCACCGGGTCTCAGCGGTTCCAAGACACTGCCTCAAGATCCCATTAGGTCAGGGATTAGTGCAGGGGGGGCCAGGGGCCGACGTAGAGATAGCTGTAAAGCAACATGGTACATTAACAGTGTAAGTTTACCATGAGAGAAAATTTAAAAACTAGAAAATGTCTCTAAATTTTAAAAATCTTTTTACTTTAAACAGAAGAGCTTAGACAGAGAAGAGTTGTCAAAGTAAGACAAAGCTCTTTATATCCTTCATTCTGCTTCCCCTAATATGAACATCTTATAAAACCATAGCACAATGATTAAAAAGAGGACATTAATAGTGGTATACTATTATTAATTAAATGACATACATTATTGGAATTTCAACAACTTTTTCACTAATATCCTGCTTTTTTTTTTAACAAAAAGAAAAGTAGGACTATGTGGGAGTGGCTTGATTTTTTTTTTAAGTTTTCTTCCCATCTGGAACTCATTATTTGAATGATTTTTCTATATCTATTCTCTATATCCCTTAACTTTCCTTTATTTATTTATTTATTTATTCATTCATTCATTCATTCATTTATTTTTAAAGATTTTTATTGGGGAATTGGGGGAGGGGAACAGACAAGTTGCTGTCTTTTTGTTCTTCAGTCTAGTTGTGGAGGACGTTGCTTCACTGGCCCGTGTTGGTATTATCATTGCACTCTTCCCGGCTGAGGCAGTCGCTCGCCAGCCATTGGATGGCCGCCCATGGTGGCTCATGGCAGCTCACGAAAGCTCACACCCGCTACTGGCCATCCCCACTGCAGCCTACGCCGTCGCCGGCGACTCACAGCAGCCCAGCTCCAGGTTCAGCTGTTGTTCACCATCTTAGCTGTAGAGGGCGCAGTCACTGACCCTCATGTGGGATCCGAACTGGGGTGCTGCTGCTCAGAGCTGGCGTCCCAATCCAACTGTTAACCAACAGGATACTCAGCCAGCCCTTAACTTTCCTTTATATTTTCAATATTTTATCATTTCCTACTTCTTTCTGGGAGGTCCTCAATCTAATAATCTAACTCAGGAAATTAATATCTCACTTTTATTTATTCTAAGCTTTATCTCATCTCTTGGGTTCTTTATTTCATTTATTATATTTTTTTATATTTTTCATACTAATGGTTCTATTTGGTGCTTATTATTTTCATTCCCATTTACATTTCTAATACCTTCTCATCTCTTTTAGCATATTTATTAATACATTTATTTTAAATTCTTGGTGCAACTATTCTAAGAAGTCTGCTTCCAGTGACATCTAATGCATTTTGTTGATTTCCTTGTTAAGTAGTTTGGTACAAGGATGTCCTGTTATTTTGGTGTGAGCTCAGATTCCTTGGAGGGACCAGGTACTCTGTGGTGGGGTAGGTCCAAAGCCAGACCCTAGCTGATGTCAGCCAGATGGACTCAAAGGGAGTGGAGGAAACAAGTGCTGGTGAGGACACTTCTGCGTACAGAAATGATGGACAGGTTTAACTTCTTAATGAAGTCATCAGTAGAGGCCCTCAAGGTGGTAAGATCTACTTTCTCTTTTTCATGTCCAATGACTTGATGGATCTCATCACACACCCTGCAACATTCATACCCTCCTTCAGTGTTTGAAAATGCAGACACACAACTGGGGAGAGTCTTCTGAAAGCACTGTGACATGTGACACCTCTGTTGGGAACATAGAGAATTAGAGTTTTTAGACGTTCCTTTTACAAAATATAGCAACAACTCTAAAGCCAGTTACCTTACAAAGGTCCATTGTTAGAAATAATGCTTTTATGGTTCAGAAAAAGAACAGTCATTCATTTTCTGAAACTGTAGGGACAGAGGGAATATTTTTTCTCTATCAACTCTTCTTTAATTGAGGTCTTCAGAAAGCGTCAGAATATACAGATGTTTCCTGGCCCTAGAAGCCAGACAGAGCAGAAGATTGTAGAAAATATCTGGCTCAGCTGCTCTTGGGTTGATCCCAAACACAATGTTTCTTTCCAGGCCTGAAAATCGACGAATACTCTCCAACATGATGTTATTGGCTAAAATGGAGGTAGTATTGCTCTGAGACATTCTTCTCTTCCTCATTGCTTTTGAAAACTCATCACTATATTTTTGCATTTCCTCTTTTGTACTAAAAAGCACTACAATATCCTCAGGGGAATAACCAGCCCTCAAGAAAACCTGGCACTCCTCTGCTACATAGGTCACTATCTCCTTCATATTCAAGCACTTATTAATGATGCATTTGCCTGGAACACCCTGAGCCCACTTAGCTTCACAGAGCATCTCCAGGGACTCAGGAGGGATGTTATATGGTGGATTTTTTCTGACCTCCTCCATTATATCTTGTAAATAGTTGGCTATTTCATCTGCATTGCGAACCACTTTGGTGAGCTCTTCTCTTGATTTCTGGGCTGAGAAAGGTGGGAGGCCACTGACATCCGTGTGACTGGTCTGAAAGTAGTCCAGAAAGATCCAGAGAAATCCTGGGCAATCCTTTCTTCTCTGAGTGATGCATTTTGCCTTCTCATACCAGGGCCCATTTTCAGTGCGGAAATTCTGAGCTTCATCAATGATGATGTGTTGAATCTTTTCAAAATTATTATTACTCATGAAGGTTTTCCGGGTCACTGCACAGCAGATATTTTTATTACTGTAAAAATTAAAATGACACACTCAGGTTTTCTCCAAGTAAATAAAGGAGAGAAATGACTCCATCATATTCCTATGAACATTAGACTGTTGTTACAGATCATTTTACCACCCAACTCTTAAGGAGCAAGGTAATTTGGGTGGACGGAAGTATGAAGTGAATTCAGATTGAACCTCAGTTAGAGACAATAAAACCCAACTGCTTACCTGATATAGTCCCTCAGAAGTTGGTTCTCACAAACATAGAGAATTTCATGTTTTACACAGCCCAAACTATTCTTGATTTTCTCCATGATCTTCATGGCCATGACTGTCTTCCCTGAGCCAGGTAAGCCATGAATAAACAGTTTTTTGTTTCTGGGAAAGTTTTTTGAGATGATCTCATACTGTTGGACTGTGAGAAGATTTAAAATCTCACAGCCAAGCTGGTCACTCAGAAAAGCCCTGAAGCTGAGCAAGACAATCACGAGGGATTGCAGCAAGGCTTCCATCTGCTGGGTGTGTGCAAGGTGATAGGACTTAGGGTAATTAATCAGAGAGCCTGAACCTTCAGAGGTCTCTGCATTGCTCTCAGGGCTCAGATGGAGGACCTTGGTCATGACACACAGCTTTCCGGTGTAGCCCCCCATGTTCACCAGCTTCTGCTTCAAAGTAAAGGCGGTACGGGTGCAGTAAGACTGCCCATGTGCATCTTGCTCCCTGAGAATGGTGTAGAGAATGGGGGGGCTGTTCTTTTTTATCAGCAGAGCATCACAGATGACTTCCTGCTTCTCTGGCAAGTTCAGGTCCACAGCCCAGCTTCTAGAAACGATCAAAATTCCCTGGGAGAAAGGCTGCATTTGCTTATTTATTAATTCCTCCAGACCTTCATGCTCTGAGCACAGCTCCACCCAGAGGGACTTGGGGGTGTACTGCAAATCTCCTGGTGTCACTAGACATGAAAAGAATTATAAATTTGAGGTCAACATATTTATTTTATGGTTAATTATAATTCATAACATTATTTTTAAAAAGCACATTTCCTATGGTGAAGAATAAATGAAATAGCATAAAATATCTGCCTCATGGTAGCTAATTGCGAAATGTTAGTTCTGTTCCCCTGCCTACTCTGAAAGTATTTGAATCTCAAAATTTCCCTGAATAGTCCCCACTGATGGAGGTAAAAGGAGCCATCCTAGGAAGAAGGTGCTCATTAAATATTTGTGGAGAAGATGGAGCCATGTTAAACTTTTTATTAGCAGAGAGCCCCTGTGGTCCTGGACTGGGAGACCCTGAAGTTGGGCCCTGAACTAACTCCCCTGAAGCAGAACTCTGGCATCACTGACAAATCAATGTGAGACTTCATCTGTCATGAGAGTCTTCCCTTTGTCACGAGGGAGCAAGAACAACAATGCGACATAAGAATAAATTCACACTGTAGGGGTTGTAAACTTATTTCAATGATCATTTGTTCCAAATGGGGATAAAAAATGAAGAGATTGTTTCATCCTGTTGTGGTGGTGTCAGGTCACAAGAGTTGTATTGGTAATTTTAAGTGAATTTACCCATATCTCACTGGTAATTGTTTATTGTTCTTTGTTGCTAGTGCTTTCTCCCTTGTACTAGGTGTTCATGCAATTTGATTATGCCTGCAACCTGGATGGTATGATCGCGAGTGGGAGATGGCATCCATTATGGGACATATCCAGATTTTAGAGATGTTAAAAGGTGGGAGGAAGCACACCTCTTAGAACAGAAGAAATAGAATAATATAAGAATATGTTTCAAATGGAACTTTAGAAACCAAAGGAAGGATAAAATGAAAAACCACATCATTTGTTGATTGTACTAGGGAACTTATACACATCTCTGGGCCTCACAATTGTGCAAGGCAGATATACTTATTATTCTCTTTTTCATATGAGAAAATGGGAGCTCAAACAGGTCAAGTGAGTTGCCCGTGGTCACACCCATAATAAACGGCAGAGCCAGGGTCCAAACCCAAGCCTCAGACACCAGACCCTCTATTGCAGTGGTTCTCAACCTGTGGGTCGCGACCCCTTTGGGGGTCGAATGACCCTTTCACAGGGGTCGCCCAAGACCATCGGAAAACAAAAAGATATTTACATTACGATTCATAACAGTAGAAAAATTACAGTTATAGAGTAGCAACGAAAATAATTTTATGGCTGGGGGTCACCACAGCATGAGGAACCGTATTAAGGGGTCGCAGCATTAGGAAGGTTGAGAACCGCTGCTCTATTGTTTTCATTCTACTGCACTTCCCTGCAATTCATACAAACTACCTCTCCTGATAAATAAAGAAAATCACTAAAGTATCTCATAGCAAACGTGTTTTATCTCATCATTGAATAGGTCTTATTTTTCTTTTCTTAATTTTTTTTTAATTGGCAAACAGCCATGGCCATTGGTTACATGTTGCTTTCATGCTACAATGGCATAGTTGACTCTTTTAGGGAGGGCACAGCTCATAGTGGCCCATGCAGGGATCGAACCTGCAACCTTGGTGTTATCAGCACCATGCTCTAACCAACTGAGCTAAAAACAGTCACCCCATTTTTCTTTAATTATATAATAGGACATCTTCCTAAGGAAATTATGTGAAGGCGAGAAGTGTCCCTTTCATTTCTTTTATATTCTACACGACACTTAGTAAATCACAGGGACTAGACTGGGTATTCAATAAATGCCACCACTCTGTGTGCATTAGAGCAGGCACACTCCCATGTGATTTGGGACCTCTGTACCTTTGCAGAGAGAGGTGTGCTCTGAGACTCTAATACTGTCTTCCGCTTTTGTCACCTGATAAACTCCTCTCATCTTTTCCAGAACTCCCATGTCTGTCCTTCTCTCCTCTGAGCTCCCGAAGAATTTTGTATGCATTCTGAGCACTAATCCCACTGTGCATCCAGGGAAATCTTAAGAAACAAAGCACTGGATTGTCCAGAGTGGCTGTTTTGAAACTATAGGAAATCAGGTGAGGGCTCCTAATGGTTTAGGACACCAGAAGAAAAGTCTCTGGGGGCTGGTTGATTCTGACCTACTACCCAGGCCCTGACTTACTTTAGTACCAATAACTCCAGTTATAGACAAAATTTGTATTCCAGTTATTGCATTTCTTCCAAGATAAATATTTACAGGGTTAACCTGAAGAGAAATTTTTATCAACCAATGCTAGTTATTGTGCTGAGGGCATCTCTATCTTAATATCTGGAATCTTATTGTAGAACAAAAACCAAGCTTTTAGTTTAGCACTGTTAGTATTCCGAACCTAATAATAATAGCAGTCTATGAAAATGAAAATTGGGTTTTAAAAAATAAATTTTAATGAGGAATACATTCCCACAGTCCAAATACCAAAACACTCCTACTCCCATTTGCTCCATTTCCTGCCTTTCCAACCCCATCCTATTCCTCTACCATAGATACTTTTTTAGTTTCATGCCTGTTCTTCCAAAATTCCTTTATGCAAATATCCCCATTCTTATAATAGGTAGTAAACTGTTTGGCACTTACTTTTTCAGATGTTACAATAAATGTTGGATATCTTTCCATATCAGTACATAAAAACTTCCTTACTTTTCTTTTCTAGTTCTCTAACATGCCATTTTATAGATGTGCCATATTTTTATTTAACCAGTCCCTATTGATGGGCACATAGATTCCCCCCCCCGCACCCTGCACAATCTTTTGCTGTTATAATAGTACAAGAGGTAATCTTGACCCTTTTTTTTTTTTTTAGCTGGGCCATCCTGCTACCTGTTGGCAGCTCAGCAGCAGCTCAGCTCAGGCCGGGCATGGAACCGCTGTTGCTCAGAGCTCAAACTCTTGAGCGAGCTCTTAACCAACTGAGCCACTCGGCCGGCCCTCTTTTTTATTTTTTTAAAAGAGGGCGCAGCTCACAGTGGCCCATGCAGGGATCGAACCAGCAATCTTGGTGTTATCAGCACAGTGCTCCAACCAACTGCGCTAACTGGTCATCCCAGCTTTCTTTATTTTTTACATTCTAATAGAAAGAAATAATATCTCATTTTAGTTTGCATGTCTTTTATTTTGATTAATATTAAGCATCTTTTCAAATGTTTGAAAGCCATTTGAATTTTATTTTTTCTAGAATGATTTGATTTTTCTGTTAAGTAGTTGTATTTTTTTTTTAAGATTTTATTGGGGAATTGGGGAAGGGGAACAGCCAAGTTGTTGTCCTTCAATCTTAGTTGTGGAGAGCGCAGCTAGCTCAGCTCCAAATCCAGTCGCCATCCAGTTGCCCGTCAGCAGACAGGGCAGCTCAGCTCAAGGTGCCCTGTTCAATCTTAGTTGTAGGTGGGCGTAGCCCACCATCCCATGCAGGAGTCCAACTGGCAACCTTGTTGTTAGGAGCATGTGCTCTCACCAGCTGAGCCATCCTGCCACCTGTTGGCAGCTCAGCTTGGGCACAGCTCACTGGCCCATGTGGGAATCAAACCTGCAACACTGTTGCTCAGAGCTTGCGCTGTTAACCAACTGGGCCCTCACCCAGCCCAAGTAGTTGTTTTCTTAATCCTTATCAACTTCTCAGAGCTCTTTACATACTAGAAACATCAATTTTTTGTGATGATATAATTTGCAAATATTTTTCCCAGTTGGCCAATGGCCCTTTGATTGTTCTTTGTGGCTTTTGCCATGCACAATGCTATAAAAAAATTATTTCTATGCAGTCATATATATCAATCCTTACTTTCATGGCTCTGGGTTTTGAATCTTGATTTTTCTAATTTTCTTGCCAATGTTATAAGAGAGCATTTGCCCATGTTTTCTTCTAGAACACTTATGGCTTTAATATTTTGTTTTAAATTCTTCATCCATAGAGTTTATGTTGGTATATGACATGAAGTGTGAATCCATCTTTTTAAAAATAAATTGCTAGGGCCAGCCGGGTGGCTCAGTTGGTTAGACTGCGAGCTCTGAGTAACAGGGTTGCCAGGTGGATTCCCACATGGGCCAGTGAGATGCGCCCAAGCTGAGCTTCCGCTGAGCTGCCAACAGGTGGCAGGATGGCTCAGCTGGTGAGAGCACATGCTTCTAGCAACAAGTTTTCTGGTTCCACTCCCACTTGGGATGGTGGGCTACCCCCCCCCCCGCAACTAGATTGAAAGCAGCGACTGGACTTGGAGCTAAGCCTGTGCCCTCCACAACTAAGATTTAAGGATGACAACTTGACTGGGAGCTGATGGGTCCTCGAAAAAACACATTGTTCCCAATAAAGTTTGAAAAAATTAAAAACAAATAAATTGCTATCCAGTTAACCCAACATCTCTTTGTTGAAACATCCACTTTTCTCTACTTTCTTGAGAAGTCAATTCCATCATAAACTAAATCCTCATATGTGTTTGCATCTATTTCGAGACTTTCCATTCTATACCCTTGGTTTAATTATGTGCCCATGCAACTCTTTTTAGAAGAGGCTGTATAATGATTTTATATCTGAATAGCCCTTCTTGTTTGCTCTTCTTTTTCAGGTTTTCATACCCAGGCTCTCCTGGCCAATTAACTTTTCCACTGTCACTTTAGAATAACATTGTTAGATTAAATTAATCTCTTGTTTTTTTATTGATATCTCATTACATTTATAAAATAACAGAATCTACAATGTTTTGATGCCGATTCTTCTTTTCAGGAACATGACATGTGTTTCCACTTGATTCAAGTATTCATCTGTGTCCTTCAAAATTGTTTTGTTTCTCAGGTTGGTTTCCTCTAGACATTATTATTTTGTGTTGCTATTGAAAATTGGGTGTTTTCTTACATTGTCATATTAGAATATTGAATTCTGCATATTAATTTTCATGTTTTCTTATAATGCTATGTAATGCAATGAATTATATTCATTTTGAATTATTTTATTGTTATAGTAGTTTTCATTGGTTCTCTTGAATTTCCCAAATATTTAGTCTTATCTTCTTTTTTTTTTTAAAGAGTTTTATTGGGGAATTGGGGGAGGGGAACAGACAAGTTGCTGTCCTTTTGTTCTTCATTCTAGTTGTGGAGGACATTGCTTCACTGGCCCAAGTTGGCACCATCATCGCGCTCTTCCCGGGCGAGGCAGATCAGTCGCCGGCCTCTGGACGGCCGCTCACGGCGGCTGCTGGCCGCTCACGCTGGCTGCCGGCTACACATGGTAGCTTATGGCAGCCCACTGCAGCAGGGGGCTGCAGCCTACGCCATCGCTGGCGACCCACGGCAGCCCAGCTCGAGGTTGAGCTGTTGTTCAGCATCTTAGCTGTAGAGGGCAGTGTCACTGGCCCTCACATGTGGGATCCAAACCGGGGCCCTCTGGCATCCCAAGCCAGTTCTTAACCAATGTGCCACATGGCCGTCCCGAAAATCACATATTTTTTGCATAGATATACAGAAATGATTAATTATAACAATAACTCTGTTAATGTTGATTTATCTTTTCATTTCTGGAGTTCTAGCTTTGCATTCTCATTCATAAATTAGTCTAATTTTTTCCTTTTTTGTGCTGTCAGGTTTTGCAGTTACTGTTACTCTTGCTTAAAAAAAAAACTTGAAGCCCGGCCGAGTGGCGCGTTGGTTAAGAGTTGGCTTGGGACACCAGGTCAGAGCAACAGGGCCGGGTTCGGATCCCACATTAGGGCCAGTGACACAGCGCCCTCTATAGCTAAGATGGTGAACAACAGCTCGACCTGGAGCTGGGCTGCCATGATTCGCAGGCGACTGCGTAGACTGCAGTGAAGCTGCAGTGGGCTCCTGTAAGCTACCTTGAGCAGCTGGCAGCCGGCATGAGCTTCCAAGAGCCACTGTGAACAGTAATCCAGAGGCCGGTGACTGATCTGCCTCACCCGAAAAGAGCGCAATGATAATACCAACATGGGCCAGTGAAGAGACGTCCTCCACAACTAAGCAAAAGAACTAAAAAGGACAGCAAATTGTCTGTTCCTCTTTCCTGATTCCCCAAGGCTATTCCCCTCCCCCAATTCCCCAATAAAAATCTTTAAAAAAAAAATAAATAACGTGATAATTTTGATTCTTTTTCTATGGCTCTGGAACAATTTAAATAGTGTTGGGAGTATCTATTCTTCAGATGTTTGGTACAATTCCTGGAAAATTGATTTTTTATATAAGAATAATAGATTGTTGCTCTATGAGCATACAGTCCAGTATTTTCTTTTCCTTGTAATTAACTACATGGTAATAAGCTGTGCTAAAATGGAGCTTACTGGGTTTAGAAAATTATTATCAATGCTTATGCTTATTCCTTTATCTAATACTGTTTATTGTGGACAATTTTTAAAATATAAATTTGATGTGCAAATGAATGCAAAGACCTCAGTTAGGTAAGGGAAAAATAAAATCTTAAATTGGGCAATCATTATCTATTAATGGTCCTTGATAGATATTTACACATTTACAGGACATTTATGTATCAAATTCCAGTGCCAGATAAGCCACTGATTTACGTCATAGACTTAAGCAAGCAGTTTTCCCTCTCTAGAAGTCTAGAGAAATTCCGAGAGAAAGCCTAACAAGTTTGGAGAGAGGGATGGGAGCAGAAAACAGGCACTGTCCTTGGTTCTGAATCATTATTTCGTGCTGTTAAACAAGATTGTTTCTCCTAAATCTGAAATAAGTTCGTAAGTGTTTATAATTGATCTTCATTTTATTTTATTTATCTTGTGTTATATCTTGCTATAAATATTTATTCTTTTATTTATATTCATAAGAACCACTCCTCTGGAAAAATCTGGACGATTTAGGCAATTTTTTGCTCCTGGAGCAATGTATCCCTCTAGCTCAACTGATAAAAGGTTTCCCATCTGGATCAACATCAGAGTCATGTGACTCAACTTGATAAAAATGCACATTATGAGGTGCTATCCCCAAATATTCTAATTTATTAAGTGTGGAGTGGAGAACCAGATATCTGTACCTTTTAAAATAACCAGAAATACTGATGATCAATGCAGTTTGAGCACTACAAGTCCAAATGGTCTTTAAGGGCAATGATATTCCTGGATTCTACATGAGGTACTGCCTCAGCCAGTGGGGTCAGTGAGGGTTCACTTCGAAATTACTTATCCCCAATATGCTTATAGCATTATCACCTTGTACACATAGATTTGCAGAGCCTACATTCAGGATTTTAAAAAACAAACAAACATTTATCTCCCCGTATCCTAGCATAGAAACTGGCTGGTGTCAAGTAGGCAAACCATAGTTACTACCTGAAAATAACCGTTTCTGGAGAGTCTTCTTATGTTCCAGGCCTTTCTGGAAGTACACAGGTCTGATAAGAGGAGGACTGCTAGACAGACTCAGTTGAGATTCGAAGTCTTTGGACAAGCATAGATGAACTTAAGAAAGAAAGAAAACTCATGTTATTGTGACATGTTACTTCATTTTTTCACCACTGAAAGAGGCCTTCTGAGTGGGTATATTATACGACAGTCTAGGTGGTGTGACTTGAGAGATAATAGCAAGATAATGGTCCATTCACCCTGTGTAGACAAGTGTCTTTATTGCATTTGATGGCTGCCAAACTCCACCACTGAAGAGACATTATTTGGAGGTTTGAACGTGTTTCCCACTCAATATAATTCTTCACTCTCTATGTCTAGATAGCATTTTGTTTGTATTTCTTTTATGGTATGTAGCACATTCTTTTAGTAAACACATCTGTACATGTAGTTTATTTCTGTGGTGTAAATATTCCTACCATGGACAATTTCAAGCTACCAATGTGACGTCAATAAATGCAGAGTTGGGAAGAAATGCACAGTAGCACAGCTTTTACAGCATTTCCACCATACAAATACAATAGATGTAAATAACCTCACAAGCAAAGATAATATTAAAA